AACATTTAGCCACCATTTGTGGCATTCTGGCTTTGGAAAAATGTACTTCAGATTTCCAAATAACTAATTTGGAAATGCATTTTTAGAACCCAGTAATTTGTAAGTTGGGGACAGCATATAAACATCCCTAAGCTGTGAAGTAAGTCAGAACGAGTTAAGTGTACACTTTACAAACCATTTGTCTTGCTTTTTCAGGAAAGCATTTCTGTCGTCTCTAACCCTGAACCTGAGTGCCCACTTTCTCTCTTACTTGCCCTTCTCAAGCCACCGTCCTTTCCGAAGCTTGGGGAGACAGGAGACCCACAGACTCAACACCGCCATTATTCTCAGAGCTGAGCTGTAGGACGCTGTCCATGGCAGTGCTTTCTGAGTCGGTGCCTGGCTCTGGGGGGCACCAGACTCACCACCCCACCTTTCGTATGCCCCTCTCGTTCCCTCACCCTGATTCCTCTGCAGTTGTGGCTAGAAACCCCTTCGTGAGTTCGTTCAGCAAACCCCGAGAGCAGCTCACATCGTAGGGAGGGCGGAAAGACGGCGTTTCCTGTTAGGTGGTGTTGTGACCCGTGGCATAGGGAAAGGGAGGCTGAACCCATACTTGTAACCACTCGGGAAAGCACGTGGTAGGTGTGGGGAGAGAAGCCACTGGGTATGTTTTCTGGTAGAGGCGGAGAAGAAGCGCGAGGCCAAGCAGCGGGCCAAGGAGGCGCAGGAGCGGGAAGTGCGGAAGCGGGAGAAGGCGGAGGAGAAGGAGCGCCGGAGAAAGGAGTACGATGCCCTCAAAGCGTCCAAACGGGAGCCGGAGAAGAAAACTAAGAAGGAAACAAATCAGGCGTCGAGTAAGTTTCCCTCCGTCGTAAGGCAGGGTGCAGCAGGGCGATGTGCGGATGTGTTCAGGCATGGGGGAGCCAGCGAGCTTGCAACCCTTCGGCGACACGGTGACCCCATGGCCGGGGAGCACCTGGGGGGGCTGCCTACCGGGAATGGGGGGCTGTCCTGGGGAGCACGTGTGTGGTCTGCCAGTTTGTTTTCCCAGAGGCGCATGTGCAGGTTTTGCTCAGAGGTGGCTGGGAGCATTACCAGAACAGAGAGTTGTACTTTTTGTAAGAGATTCTGCCCTGGCCATTTTGGCACAGCGGTTAGAGCTTTGGCCTGAGGACTGAAGGGTCACAAGTTCGATTCCCGGTCAAGGGATCCAGGTTTGATCCCCAGCCCTGGCCAGGGTCATACAGGAGGCAACCAATCGAGGTGTCTCTCACATCGATATTTCTCTCTTTTGCCCTTTCCCTCCCTTCCACTCTATCTAAAAATCAATAGAAAAATATCCTTGGGTGAGGATTAACAACAAAAGTTAGCTTCTAAAATCACCGAGAAAGATGAAGAGTGCATATGGTCACATGACCCTTAAAAGTCCCTCACTTCATCCGTGAAGTACACTGCGTGTGTTTTGTCTTTTAAAGCCAGCACTGCACGTGGTTTTTTTTCAAGTTGGAACAGATCACTCTCTTTTTTCTTGAACACCACAGGAATCATTTGGCTTGTGTTCAGGGAGTCATGTTGTATAAAAAACACGTTAGTGTTTTGCCTGAGTGTGTCCAGTTGAATTTGTGTAGCAATGTGGCTCTGCGAACAGGGGAGGATCGTAAACCCTCTGGGCCAAAAGGGGTCCCTGAGGGAGCACCTCAGAGGGAGGAGCTCTGGAGGGATGGGAGGCCTGTAGCCTGGCCCTGCTCCCCTTGCTGGCCTGGAGCAAGCCACCCAGCCTCACCACCCTTTTGTTTCCTTGTGTCTAATGAGGACCTACCCCCTTACAGGGCAGAGAGAGGATTAAGTGAGGAAATCTACGAGTTCTTGTCATGTGAATGCTCAGTCAGGTTTTTTAAAAATTTTGCCTACAAATCTCAAACCTTTTTTTCTAGTTATAACTGTAATATACATGTTCATTTCAGAGAATTGAGAAAAATTCTCTCTATTTCTATCAGAAAATGGTAATCACCTCTAATTCCCCGTTCCTAGCAGTAATCACTGTTTTTTATATGCATCTTATACAGGGTGGGGCAAACATAGGCTTACAGTTGTTTGTGTGGAAAATCATACAATAATTAATAAATAATAATACAGAAATAAACTGTGTTTCATGTACTTACAACCCTAAGCCTGCTTTTGCCCCACCCTGTATAATAATATTAACAATATTAATAAATCTCAAGGCCCTGGCCGGGTAGTTCAGTTGGGTAGAGCATTGTCCTTATATGCATATGCCAAGGTTTCGGGTTGATCTTGGGTCAGGGCACATACAGAAGTCAACCAATGAATGCATAAGTAAGTGGAACAACGAATGGATGTCCCCCCCGCCCTCTAAAAATCAATCAATAAATAAAAAAAATCCCAAAAGTGTTTCCCCAAATGGGCAGCACTCTGTCCATGGCTTCTGACAAGCCTCTCCCCTGATCCCGAGGGGCCTGGATCATCACCATATTATCGAGGAGAACTTAGGACCTTGGGACTGTGTACGCCTGTGATATGTCCAGATAAGTTCCAGTTTTGAATGTCTTCCCTTGAGATCCAAGGAGGAGGTGTTTATATTTCTGTCTCCACATAGCAAAGTTTTTAAGAGCTCAGATGTTCTTAAAACAGTATTCAGGCCTGGGGAGTTTTCATTAGAGAAGAGAGGTGTACATGCATATGCATGGAGGAGACGAGTATTGATTGGTAGTGTGGGTTGTGGGTCTCCTCAAACTGACTGAACTTTTCTGTCTACTGTGACTTGTTACTCCAGAATCCAAGTCTGGCTCTCGGTCCCGTAAGCCGCCACCCAGGAAACACACCCGGTCCTGGGCTGTGCTGAAGCTGCTGCTGCTGCTGCTGCTGTGCGTGGCTGGAGGGCTGGTGGTTTGCCGGGTGACAGAGCTGCAGCAGCAGCCCCTCTGCACCAGCGTGAACACCATCTACGACAATGCGGTCCGGGGTCTGCGCAGCCACCACATCCTCCAGTGGGTCCTGCAGACCAATTCTCAGCAGTGAGCTTGTCCTCAACACCCGCTGCCTCCCAGCCTTGGAACTTGGATTCCTATGGAATTGGGTTCTGCTGGACACAACCTCTTTTTAGCGTCAGACCTACCTGCCGTCATTAAATGGCTGCTGATTGGTACTTGAGACCTCCTCTTTGTAGGACTTCTTTGTTCCTTAGTCAGGGTTCCCTGGTGGAATAAGAAGTGGGAGTTGGGGAGAGGAGAAAACCTGCATGCCTAAAGGAAAAGGCTTGGGGTGGGAGAGGAAAAACAGCCTTTTATAGTTGTTATATAAAACTGTAAAGGCAAGGCTCATTTCTACTAAATGGTCAGCTGTCACTACATTTATACTTTTATGTGTCACAAACCCTTTCATTCCTCCCCGGGTAGCCAGGGCAGATCAGGAGGCAGTGGGTTGTTATTGGGGACTTGGGGACCACCACACTCAGCAAATCTAGCCTGAATCGGAGGGGAGGGGCATACCTATTTTCTTAAGGACCTCAGGCATCCAGACATTTTAATGACCATACAAAATCTCAGGCTCAGAAAGGGACTTCAGGTCTATCCAGGCTGATAGAAGATAAGGAACTTGAGGCCTTCCCGTACTTGCTTATGGTCTCCCAGCGAGGTAGAGCTGGACCCCCACTCTGGTATTCTTTCTTTCTCGTCACTTTGCCCGCCTTAGAATGCCCTGAGAGAACGGAACTCACACCAGAATTTGAGTGTCTCTCAGCCAGAGTATGGAATCTTTCATGTAGACAGATTCATGACCCACAAATAGAAATTTCACAGCCATGAGGGCCTAGGGCAGCTCCTGTGGAGTTCTGCCCCTCCTTATGTGGCTTCCACAGAACGCCTCACTTTAGAGCATTAACCCCCATTGCCAGTACACGAGGCAGACCCTTGCAAAGCCACACTGTCTGTGACAGCTGTTAGTAGTTGGTGTGACTAAATACCTCAAAGGCAACCTGGACACTCCAGTGTCAGAGACTTTGGTTTAAATTGATTCTAGACGTAGAACTATGTCTATGCAGTGAAGGGACTCAAGGAGCATCATGGCATTTAGAAGTGGTCAGGAACTGTAATGACTAGCGCAATCAAGGGCAGTACTGCCCCTCGTCTGCCAGAGTAAGTGTCCTTGCTCAGTGGCATCCTTTGTTTCGTCTTTGACAACAGTTGGATGAGGGGTCCGAAATGGCCGCGTCATGGTGCTCATTCACTGAAATCTCCCAATTGCAAGCTCCTTGCCTCTCGCCCAGGAGAGCAAGAAGCTGTTATTGTTCAGAGATGAAGAGGATGGGGCCCAGCTTTTTAGCCATAGTGGCCCAATTGGATAGGACTGCCACTTGTGACTGTCCCGATACTCTAATGACTTTTGTCTCCCAAGGATAGCTCCGTTGTGTAGGCCACACCTTACTCGGGATACACTCCACATTCCTTTAGTCTTCCTCCAAGTTCCAGAGCCACTGGTACAAATGCTTTATTGAAACGAAACACATAGTACATGAAGTAAGACAGAATACAGAAGTTGGCATAGCGATCAGACCAGTTCCCTGGCTGGTTGAGGCAGCCTCCGTGGGTCAGTGGAAGGCTGGACACCCAGCCAAGTAAAGCCAACCCACTGAGGGCATTCATGATCTTTAAGATTTGAGTCTGAGATTCTTTTGGATTTCTACAACTATTAAATATGTGTCTGAGTGGTCTGTTTGTGTTTCTTTGTGTTCTGACGGCTGACTGGGGCAGGGGTAGGGGTGGCTTGTGCAGGGTGGTTGATTTTTGCCAGGAGAGGAACACTGAACACTGGTGAAGGTAAATGCAGATATCTCGGCCAGTTGACAGGGAGGGAGGCTTTCACAAATAATGACACCCAGGAAAGTGTGGGCCTGACCCAGGCTTGTGCTCCAGGCACTTCCAATCTCTTCACTGTAGTCATGTCCCAAGGTGAGCGAGGTGGAAATCTCCAGCTTTTCATTCTGTCCCTGAGGGCTAGCTTCAGTCTGTACTGTCTAAAGAGAGATCTGGCTGCAGTGTGGTCATCTGAAGGTAGATACGCCTGGACAGCTCTGGTCCAACACGGCGGGAGGTGGCTGTCACACCTTCCCCACGGCGCACCTGTATGTCTGCAAGGAGATTCTGGCGTTCTTGCTCTGAAAAACACCGCCTATAAGCCTGAAAGTGGAAACGATCTCTTAATACCACACCATCCAGTCACCCCTCATCTAGGAAAAGGGTGTGGTGAGTTTGGGTTGGGGATGAGAACCTGTCCCCCCACCCTGGGTCAGTGTTAACTCGGATCCCAGCAGACCTGCACTGTTGACCGACAAGGCAGTCTTGGGCCCTCACCAATGCTATCTGCGAAAACCATCTGGGAGTCCCATCAAGGTCATGGGACACCGGGCAGGGCCCCTGGAGCACCATACCTGGACCAGGAGCTGTGGGGAGGGGTAGGCGGCCACAACAGCGCTGGCCATTTCCAGGCTGACTCGGTTCAGCTGCTGGACCTGCCTCCTCCAGACCTGAGCAAGCCCCCTGCCAGCACGGTCCACCTTTGCCCCTCCGGCCCAGTCACTCTCCAGGCAGAAGGAGAAACTAGTTTGCTCTCGGAGTTTCCTGCAAACAGCACAGATGAAGAGCTGAGTCACTGGTTACTTTCCACACCAGTCCCCTTACCTGGGAACTTAAACCCCTCCCTCCAGTGACCTTGGAAGAGGTGGGCACAATGTTATATCTTGCTCACTTTGGGCCCAAGCAGTGCTAGTTGCTGATTCCCTTAAAAACATCTACCCAGAAACATGGAAGTAGGGTACAGACTGGCAACCCTCAGAAGAGGGGGTGGTGGGGCTAGGGAAGAGATAAACCACAGAACTTATATGCATGTAGGCATAACCAATGGACATGGACAACAAAGCCGGGGATGGGGAGATGGGGAGGAGGGTGTCAATGGAGTAAAAAAAAGGAGAAATATCTGTAACAAAAAAAAAACAAAAACAAAAACACCATAAAACATCTAGTCCTTTTCATTAAAAGAGTAGGTACCAGAGTCTGTTAAAATTGGGTTGACTGACTAGAGGCAGTGCACAGGGTCAAACGCAGGGACTGGGTATGAGGCAATGTGCAGTCTAGCTCTGGTTCTTCTAATGCCTCAGTTCCCTCAGGTAGAAAACGAGGGACTGAAGACTAGATTGTCTCTGAGGTTTCTTTCATTTTAAATTCTAACATTCCTTGTGCTAAGAAGGCTACAGACTTTATTTTATGAGAGCCTATCCCATTGTGACCTGACCTGTGATGAAGCCCTGTAACTTGGCTTCCTGGTGAAACAGTGCCAACCTGCAGAACACAAACACATAAGCTATAGCAGGACATTTCATAAGCTATAGCAGGGCTGGGTCTGGCTGGTGTGGCTCAGCGGTTGAGCACCGACCCGTGCACCAGGAGGTTCCCGGTTTGATTCCCGGTCAGGACACATGCCCGATCCCCAGTGGGGGCCATGCAGGAGGTGGCCAGTTGATGTTCTTTCTCATCAATGTTTCTATCTCTCTCTCCCTCTCACTTCCTCTCTCTCTAAAATCAATAAAGAGAAAAAAAAAGGAAACATCAATGTAAAATAATTAAAAAAATAAAAAGGCACTGGGCTTGGAGGGCTCTTCCCCAGCATTCCGTGTGGGAGGCCAATTCCTGCTTCAAGCTTGAGACAACAGACTGACAGCAGAGTCCAGGGGAAAGGAACATCATCTTTGGGTAGCAGAACTTCTGTAAAGGACAAGACCCAGCAGCGGGGCTGGGATTTCCGGGGCACATACTTGAAGGGCGCCTCTGCCACAGCCTTTGTGAATGAGCACGCGAGGTCAGCCAACTCCTTCCAGCTCTGCACGACGTGAGCCTGGGCGTGTGTGTGCAGCTGTAGATCCACCAGTGCCTGAAACCAAAGGCAGACAGGCTGGAAGGGCAGTGAGCCTACTCTGAAAGTGTTCTCCCTCCCTGTTCCCTGAGGCTGCACCCCAGCTCCTTGGCTCCTGTTTGGCCCCTTCTCTCCTATTTAGTGCCAAGACAGAGAGTACTAGCCAGCAGGCATTTCACTCTTTTTGTCCTTAAGAGGACATTTTTCCACTTTTTTGTTCAGGTAGAGTGAGAGGAAGATAGAGAGAAACATCGACGTGAAAGGGACACATCGAGTGGCTGCCACCCACACGACCAACCAGGGCCGGGGACAAACTGCAACCAAGGTATGTGCCCTTAGCGGGAACCGAACCCAGGTCTCTCTGGACCGCAGGCCAACGCTCTAACTGCTGAGACAAACCGGCTAGGGCTTCACTCTTTTTAAATAGCAAATTGGATTAAATATGAGTGGGTACCCTGCCCTGGCTGGTTTGGCTCAGTGGTTAGAGCGTCAGGCTATGGACCAAAGGGTCTTGGGTTTCATTCCTGGTCAAGGGCATGTACCTGGGTTGCAGGTTCACTCCCTGGCTCGGGTCAGGGTTGGGTGGGAGGCAACCAATCAACGGGTCTCTCTCACATTGATGTTTTTGTCCCTCTCTCTCCAACTCTATTTAAAAATCAATGGAAAAATATCCTCAGGTGAGGATTAACAACAAAAAGAGCGGGTGCCCAGCCTGATTCAGGCAACAGGATGTTCTTACCTCCTCCATGTCCACCCTGGACACCATGGGCCCTGTGTTGGCCTCTGGTGGTCTATGTTTCTTCTTCTCCTTGGCCTGTTCTCTGTTTGCCACTCCCTGTTTCCTTCTCTTTGGAGGATATGGAGCACTGGAGCAGGGGAGGAAATCAAAGAAGGCTGGCACCTTCAGGCTGAGCTGAGGCAGAAGAGGTGTGAGTAGACTGGACCACAGCATCCCACAGGGCTTGGCTGGGATGCTATCTGGCAGAGGGACCCAGATCTGGGATGAGTAATTTCACCCTTTGGTGAGGACAAATTCAAACCTGAAGTATCTCTCCTGATCCACCATCACCAGTGACAGAGCTTTCCCCCCTGTCCTCGCTTTGATGTTGGTTACAAAGCTCCGAAGTGTTTCCTTCCCTTTCTCGGCGCTGCCTAGACTTCCCTGCATAAAGGGGCAGAACTGCATTAGTGCTTGCTTCCTAGTGCCAGCCCTCTGTCCTGTGCCTCAGCACCATCCCTCCGGCTCTGCCCACCTGCTTGAAGTTGTGGATCATGGACACAAACGCCTCTGCCAGGAGCAGCACCAGGACCATCGGCTCCTCCACCCAGCCCTCCTCTCCATCCTGCCAAAGCACCCGGAACCCAGCAGAGGGAGGCAAGTCAGCAGGTGCTCAGCAACTGTGAGAGAGACCCAGGCCTTCTGGGTGAAGGAACTCACCCCCATCAGCCTAGCCCATTTTGCTTTATTCTTTTTCTTCTGGAATGAAGTCATGGTGGCAAGAACCAAGAACCATGATCCCGTCCCTCCCCAGTCCTCAACTATTCAGCCTTGGTATACTGCACCTCAAAGGCAATGGTTAAGAAAGGAACATTAGCGAGTTGAAATAGGCTGAGAAAATTATGAGATCCAAACAAGAGAGCAAAAAAATAACGTTTCATCAATAGACTCTTGAAAACGAGGAGTGTTGTGCTTCGGATTTGCAGGTATAGGAGCTATAGTGACCTGGGGCGCCTGGGCCAGGAGGGGAACATGTACTGTGTGCCTATGTGTTTGCCTATCTCATTTAGTCCCCACAATGGGGGGGGGGGGGGGGCGGGGCGGGACTGAAAGGATCGTAAGTGTCCTCATTTTATACATGAGGCACAAAGTGATGAAATAATTTGCCCAGGGTCATAGCAATAAAGCCACGAGGCTGTGATTCAAACCAAGCCCACCTATTCCTAAAGCCCAGTTAGAGAATTAGGGATCCTGTGCAGATTACCTTCCCTCTGCACAGATCCACTCTCCACCCTTCCCCACTCTGCTCTCAGCCCAAGGAGGAAGCTCTCTACAGACCACGTCACAAAGTCTGCATGCCTTCCGGCTGGTGGCCAGTGGAAAATCCAGCAGGAGAACGGAGGAAGGGAGGAGTGTGAAGTCAGGGTAATCTTCCCCCTCACTCCCTCCCAATAGGGTCACCTGGGGTTTGCTACACTCCCGTTGGAGGTCACGCTTCTTTCAAGGCAGTCTTCTCTACATCTTTCCTTCTGGTTTCTGGTAACCACTTTCTTCCCTAATCCCTTCAGGCCTAGACATGTAACAACTATGGTAACCCAGTGGTATCCAACCAGGGCGATTTTTCCCCAAAAGAAACATTTGCTGTATCTGGGGACATTTTTGATTGTCATGACTGGGGAAGGTGCTACCGGCATCTAGTGAGTAGATGGCAGGGATGCTGCTAAACCCTCTACATTGCACAGGACGGCCTAGTACAACAAAGAATGATCTGAAATGGCAACAGCACCTGAGATAGAGAAACCTGAGTTGATGCTGTCATTGCCCTGAAGTACTGCATTGTCCCTTGTAGTTTCCTTGTACCCTGCCCATGCCTTGGAAAACAGTCCCTTTATTAAATCCTCAAATTATCATACATAGAGTGTACCATCTGTTTTCCTGCTGAGGCCTTGACTGATATGTGTAAGGGGTAGGAGAGGGGAGACAGAGCCAGAAAACCCCTACCGCAGCTGGCTCAGCCCTTCTCCTCCAGGTGATGCTGCAGGGCACGGCCTGGGCCTCAATCACACAGCAGCACTCCATGGACTGCAGTGCTCCGAGGAGCTGGCCCCCGCCTTCCATCTGTAGAAGCACTGCAACAGACAGGAAAGGGCTGTCAGTGGGTGGCCCAGGAAGCAGAAAACTGAGCACCGCGTGAAGACAGATGCTAGGAGGACCTGGATCCAGCACCACCACGATGTGTTTTAAGCATTCTTCTGGCCTCTGAGCTTCCGGCTTGTTAACCAGTGCTGCCTTTTTTTTCCTTTGCGGGTGTCTCAGGGTGCTTTCCTTCTGGCATGCCTGTGAGCCTCTCCTCTGGACCTTCTGACTGTGCTTGGTTCCCTTCTGAGGTAGGGGGACCTCAGCATTTGCTTTGGTTCCTGTCAAACTGAAGCTCTGGAGAGGGCAGGTCGCTTGGGAGGCTGGAAGCTGATGGCATGGACTGTCTCCTAGAGGGCCCTTGTTATTTGATTTACACCTCCCTGAGGAATCACGGAGGGGAGCGTCAGGGATCTGTGGAAAGGGCTGTTTATTCCAGTCACATGACACTCCTTCATTATTTCGTTGATCCAAAATGCTTTTAACTGGGGAGCTAGAGTCCTCAGGGCTCAGCTGCTTGTGGGTCGAAAACTTACATGTAAGTCTCTCAGCCAGGGGGACAAGTTCTTCCTCATCCTCACTTCCACTGCTTAGCACTTGGACTGGCTGTGTTTGTGTGACAGTTTCAGCTGTGTCTAGGACAGGTGGTGGATCTATCAACCTTGGTGATGGAGGACAGGAGGCTTCAGAATCTGAGGTGTCAACGACTACAATCTTCCCCTCCCTCTGAGGCTGCCTCCTGTTTGTTGAAGATGGTTCCTTCTTCAGAAAGGCAAATACTGGCAACGTCTCAGAGTCACTCTCACTGGGCTCCAGTGAGAGTGTTGATTTCTTTAGAGCCATCAATATGTGCTATCAAATTAATTACCTAAAAGACAAAGAAAGGTGTGACACAGACTGTGGCGTTCAGTTCAGTCCACTAGATATGTTCTATGGCCAAGCTCTATGGAGATAAATATGATATGGAGAAATCGGGCATGTCCCCAACACATTCAACTTGGAACTCAGAACAGCTACGCCTGTAGTCTAACAGGAGCCCTCCTCAAATCCTTTCTAGCTCAAGGTGAGATATAAATGAAGTGGAGACTACTAATACAAAATGTTAATGGGGTAGTAACAAGATTCAGCCACAAACATTGATCTTTGCATACACACCTGGTGTGCAACTACTGTGTCGTGTGCGAGAACCATTCTTTGAACAAATATATATACAACACTGGAGGTGTGAGGAGGTGAGCCATGGAATCTTTCTGGGCTTCGCTTTCTTTAGTAAAACAGGGATAATGACAACACTACTGTATACGGTTGTGAGACGTAAAAGAAACCATGCCCCTTCTGCAGAGCTTAGCACAGTATCTGGCACACAGTCCGAGCTCCGTAAAGTATGCTCAATGACAGGAGGGGCTGATCCCTGTCCGCTCGCAGGCCCTCGGTAGACTCCAGCAAAATGAGAAAGTGGGCCAGGCGGACCCTGCAGGGCACGCTCGTCCGCCAGGCGGGTCCCTCGGTTCATCCGCACCCGCGGCTCAGATCCCCAATCCCCTGTGGGGCAGTGTCAGGAGGGACGCCCAGCCCTGCCCCGCACCCGCTCCCGCACCCGCTCCCGCACCCGCTCCCGCACCCGCACCCGCTCCCGCACCCGCTCCCGCACCCGCTCCCGCACCCGCACGGGGGAAGCTGGCTCACCTGCAACTTCTCCCGCTACTCTTTGAACGGCCACGCAGGACCCGGAAGTAGATCGCCCGGTAGCGGAAGCAGTTTCCGGAGACCGCCGGGGAGCGCACGGCAAACATGGCGGCGTTGGCGTGGGCGCTGGGGACGCGGGCAGCTGGTAAAGGGACGCGCGGCGTTCCGGGGCGAGGGGTGGAGGTGCCGCGGAGACCTTGCAGGGGGCCCGGGGCGGGTGGAAGCCGCTCCCTGCCGAGGACCCTGGTTCCGGGCGTGGGGAGGAGTGAGCGGGGCCCACGAGGTTCGGGGGCCCCGGCTGTCGTTGATCACGTGACATGCTGAGCTGTGGGTGGTAGTTCGAGGAACACGTGTCCTTCCCCTGCCTGGCGGGCAAACACAGCTTCCCTAGCGGCTGGTGACGCGGGCCCGCCGCTCCCCTTCCCTGGTTTTGTTCGGACACTTCCATCTGTAGAGACGGTTACTAACGTTGGCGCAGCGGAGCTCAGGGCGCTCTTGTTCGCTCAGATTGGGGACTTAGCTTGCCAGACACTGGGGATCCCAGCACACGAGAAGACAGTCTCTCTCCCCTGGACGGTGCTTTTAGTGGATAAGCCAGTACATGAGCACATCAATAAAATGTTGTAAATAGTGCAACTGCTGTGAAAGCAAGCGAGTTGTGTGTCTGTGCGTGTCTTTGTTTAGGTTGAGTGGTCAGGAGAGCCCTCTGAGGACGTAGCTTAACATCTAAGTTAAAGCCTGAAGGATGACTGGACGCTTAGGTCTGTAGAGAGTGCAGAGCAAGAGTGATCTGACTCAATTTTATATTTTGAGAAGCAAACTCTTGTTCTTATGTGAATCTAAGGAGGACAGGAGTGGAAATGAAGAAACCAGATGAAAGCTGTAACAGAGGCCCTGATAAGAGATGATTTAGCCAAGATGTTATTGCCACTGAACTTGGAGGGAAATGGATGGATTTGAGATCTATTTTAGAGGTAGAACCCATTGAGCTTGCTGGTGAACTGGATATTTGAGGTGAGCAAAGGGAAGGAATTTGCAATGACTCCTTGATTTCTCTGCCTGAGCACCTGCGTGGGTAGTAGCATCACTTACTTTGAAGAGAAAGCTGAACAGTAGGGCGAAGGGCAAAGATTTGTGAATGAGATAATGTAGGTAAAGCAAAAGCCAAGTTCCTGAGTGAACAAATGAATAGGTATTTAAATGTAGGTAGACTGTGATGCTGGGCATTTAATGTGTTGTCTAAGTCCTTATCTCAGGTCCTGTGCCCCAGTTAGGCTCTGTTCCTATTTAAACTTCAGAAACATAGGTTCTAGGAATTTACAGGCTTCAGAGACCTGCAAGAATTCTCTTATTCCTGGCATGGCCCTGATTAACCATTGCTGTGTCTGGAGAACTAAAGGCAAAGACTGCCAGCCCTGTGCTTGTCATATAGCACGTGGCTTCCATCTTGGTTAGTATGAATCTTAGTTCACTTTCCTTTCTAAAACTAATGCCATTGAGCACTTTGGAATGAGTATAGAGAGGTCAGATTAACAGGGCAGAGTGTCGGTCTTATTGGTTGGACCCGTGCTTGGTGGGCTTGCTGATGAAGAAAGGGTCCAGCCTTCCAAAATGCCCAGGATCCTGTGGGAGCCATCCTTAGAGAAGCTGTCCTTTTTGTTTACAAGTATCTGATGTGCAGTGGATGGGTGGATGGCTAAGGAAGTGGTGGGTGAGGCCAAAGCAGGAATTTCTCTCTGGGTGTCCCGTTGCTGGTTCTGTGGTCTGGCCCCTCCACAGTGCAAGGAGCCTTGAGGGCATGATGGTGAGACTGAAATAGGCAACTCTGTGGTGTCCTCTCCCTGGCTTCTATTTTGTGTTTGTTTCTCAACAGGGCTGAATGTATCAAGACCCAGGGCACATGGTGTTCTGGGTACTTTTTCCCATTAATATTTTACTGCCCAGCCCCTCATCCTCTGGCCACACACACACATACACACATCCTATGCAGTACTTACACTCTGGACAATACAAGGAATGACTTGTCTCCCTCCATGGGAGAAGGCCAAGGATTTCAGACACTCCCTGAAAACCAACACAGTCAAGTGGCATTTCTACTCGCACATCTCCTCACTCCCCCTGCCACTGCCTCCTGCCACCTCTCAAACTAGCAAATGGCCCACTGGGGCAGAGAAAGAGAGTCTGTCTGAACAACGTTTCTGTTCTCCCCACAGTTACAGCCCTGCTGAGGCCCCCTCAGGCTGCAGCTCTTGCCGTCAGATATGCGTCCAAGAAGACAGGTGGCAGCTCCAAAAACCTTGGTGGAAAGTCACCAGGCAAACGCTTTGGCATTAAGAAAATGGAGGGTGAGGGTGTGCCTTGGCTTCCACTTCCCAGCTGTACCCTGCCTTGTGCCCCTGGGGTTCCTTTGCAGAGCAGGAGAACCATGCACATGCCTGGCCCAGTGTTCTCTGTTTAGCTCACCAGAGCATTTGGCTCCAGATTAAAGTCAGACAAAACCTGAGGTGGGGTGGGGGGCCTGAGGACGAGCAGATAGTGTGAACCTTGGCATGCAGCTGGAGAGAGGAGGCTGCTGGGTGGGGGACAGGGAGCTGCTTGTGTTGGACCATCTGGGAGTTGGTTTTATCCATGGGTAAGCTAAGAGGTTGGTGTGCAGCATTTGGGCCAGGACAGCGTGGCCATCATGTTTTCTTAGCAGTTTGTTTGTTGCCCCATAGTCAGAGCACTGCTGGACTTCTCTTCTAGGTCACTATGTTCATGCCGGCAACATCCTTGGGACTCAGCGCCACTTTCGTTGGCACCCAGGTGCCCATGTGAGTTGTTCTGTCTCAGCCCCCCACCCCCATTTCTTTTCTGGGATCACCCCTCCATGTTCCTAAGCACAGTAATAATAATAAAACAGTTGCATTTATTGGGTACTTACCAAATGCCAATTATTTTGCCGGTTCCTTGGCCTACATTATCTGATTTACTCCTTACCCCATCCCTGCAAGGTAGGTAGGTATCATCTCCATTTTATACGTAAGGTGCCAGAGACTTAGAGAGTGGAGAGGCTGAAATAACAGAGCTGGGATTTGAACCCTATCTGCCTGACTCCCAAATCACTGTGTTTTGCCTTGCTATAGCATTGGGTTTCTTTTCTAAATTTATTTATTTTTTTTTATCCTCACCCGAGGACATTTTTCCATTTTTTGTTCAGATAGAGCTGGAGGGAGAGAGAGGAAGAGAGAGAGAGAGAGAGAGAGAGAAACATCGACGTGAAGGGACACATCGAGTGGCTGCCACCCGCACGACCAACCAGGGCCGGGGACAAACTGCAACCGAGGTACGTGCCCTTAGCGGGAACCGAACCCGGGTCTCTCTGTACCGCAGGCTGACACTTTAACCGCTGAGCCAAACCGGCCAGGGTTGGGTTTCTTTTCTAACCTCCAGTTCTTGGAGAAAAACATGTCTAGTGATTGGAGATATTTTTTTTAATCTTGGGAAATTAATTTTAATATATTCATTTTTTTCTTATTTCTAAGAATTCCTCCTTTACAAAAGTTCTTACTAGATGGCTGAAAGAAAGATAGAATTTAACACAATAGAATTAAATGTGTGTATTAGAAATTAGATCTGTACCAGGCAGGGATTTCTGATCAGCAAGTTGGGATTACTTTCTGAGGTAGGAAAGTTCTTTGGTAACACAGATTTATACTGTACTCTTCATATTATTTTAAAACTAGTTTAGGTCTGGCCCTTGTGGCTCAGTTGGTTGGAGCATCCTCCTGTACACCAAAAGGTAGTAGGTTCGAGTTTCAGTCGGGACATACCCAGGTTGTGAGTGCAATCCCCAGAGAGGGTGCATATGAGAGGCAACCAGTCAATGTTTCTCTCTCATATCAATGTCTCTCTTTTTCTCTCCCTTCCTCTCTCAAATCAATTTTTAAAAAGTTTAGTTTCCTTTGTAATCAGTGCCCCCACACCATACCCCTTTTTGACCAATTTTATTAGGAACAGAGGACTGATAGTAACTTAGTCATTTCAGAAATACTAATCCGTATGTGAATTGATTGTATTTGTGTAGCTTTATTTTTTGGAACTTGAGACATTGGCTTTGTGGCTCTGTTAACTCTTGGGACTTGCTAAAATAATGACAAACAATAATAAAAGCCAACATGTTTCATAAGGTATTCGAAGTATTCTAAGCTCTTTATGATTATTAACTCATTTGATCCTCAGGGTGACCCCGTAAAGTAGTTAATATTATCCCTATTTTGCAGAGAAAGAACTGAGACTCATTGAAGTAAAGTAACTTGCTCAGATCAAACATAAAAAGTAGTAGTGCTGGGATATGAACCAAGCATCCTGGCTCCAGAGTCTGTTCTTTTAAACAGAGAAATAATAAATAATGCTGGACTATGATGATGAAGATTATCACATATCCAATCTCAAGTTTTAAAAGAAAAAAGCTAAAATATATACTGTTTAAAGACTACAGACAACTCACAGTTTATTTAGTCACTTTGCTCAAGTTTCTTGTCTGAAAAACAAAGTTAGAAATAGTACTTACTAAACAAGGTGGGAATTAAATGAGTTGATGGATATAAAAGGGCTTTATTATTTTTATTTATTTATTTTGGTACGTGCCCCTAGCGGGAACCGAACCCAGGACTCTCTGGTCCGCAGGCCAATGCTCCAACTGCTGAGCTAAACCGGCCAGGGCAAAATATTATATAGAGCTTGGAACAGTGCTTACACATGGTAAGCACTATATATAAGTGTTACCTAATATCATTGTTCTATTAGCATATACATCGTCCATACAGCCTTGGTCTATTCTTTTAATAAAGCCTAAACATTATAGATCACTATGTAAATGAAAATGTATGTCAGACTAGTGTTTAATATGACAACTTCAGCCCGTCCGATGTGGCTCAGTGGTTGAGCATCGACCCATGCACCAAGAGGTTGCTAGTTCTATTCCCGGTCAGGGTATTTTCCCACTGATTTTCAGATAGAGTGGGAAGGAGGGAGGGAGGGAGGGAGGGAGGGAGGGAGAGAGAGAGAGAGAGAGAGAGAAACATCAACGTGAGAGAGACACATTGATTGGTTGTCTCCCACACAACCCTGATCAAGGCCAGGATTGAACTGCAAACAAGGTACGTGCCCTTGACTGGAATCGAACCCGTGACTCTGGTCCATGGGCCATCACTCTAACTGGTGAGCCGAACTGTCAGGGCCTCCAGTATTTTTGAAGTGTAAGTGAAACATGTTCCCAGAGGCAGGGAACATTTTCCTGGGGCTGTTTTGGAGATTTGTTCAGTGTGGCTTATGGCCAGCTTCACAGACCTGAGTCTAGGACCTGGACTGAGCAACCACCTGGATTGGCTGTTGTCTTCTTTTCCTCCTCTGTCATGGAGTCGGTAAAGAAGTAGCAGGCAAGCCCTGGCCGATTTGGCTCAGCGGTTAGAGCGTCGGCCTGCGGTCCGGAGAGACCCGGGTTCGGTTCCTGCTAAGGGCACGTACTTCGGTTGCAGTTTGTCCCCGACCCTGGTTGGTCGTGCGGTGGCAGCCACTCGATGTGTCCCTTTCACATCGATGTTTCTCTCTCTCTATCTCTTCCTCTCTCTCCCTCCCACTCTGTCTGTACAAAAACTGGAAAAATGTCCTTGGGTGAGGATTAAAAAAAAAAAAGAAAGTAGCAGCAGGCAGGGCAGTGTCAAGCAGTGGGAAAGGGACCCGAGATGGAGCTTTCTGAACCCTTTCCTTTGGTGCCAGGGTCTGACTCCTTATCAAAGTCTGTCCTGCAGCCCCAGATGTTCCACCTACCTGGCTTTCCTTGTAGCTGAACAGGTCTGTGTGTTGCAGGTGGGGCTGGGGAAGAAGAAGTATCTGTACGCCCTGGAGGAAGGGATTGTCCGCTACACTAAGGAGGTCTATGTGCCCCACCCCAGCAACTCGGAGGCTGTGGATTTAGTCACCAAGCTGCCCAAGGGAGCTGTGCTCTATAAGACTTTTGTTCACGTGGTTCCTGCCAAGCCTGAGGGCACCTTCAGACTGGTAGCTATGCTTTGAGTTTCCAGTCAAGACCGTTTGACAGAGACGAGCCCCGGTGAAAGGAGCTGGTGGTACCAGAAGTCAAGGGTTCGGGTGACAAGGCCTCCTGAGGAAGAAAAGTCTGTGAAGTTACTGGCTCGGGAACCCTTTGGATACCTGACCTGGGGCCAAAAATAAAGTTAACTGGAGTCATGAGTCTGTGCTGTTTGGGGACAAACCTGGATGGGGCTGCTTATTGATTTGTTGGTCTTTCTGCGTGTTCTCTAGTGCACACCAAGGGGCCTCCAAGCAGGAAAGGCCTGTCAGAGTGAGCACATGACAAGAGGGGACTTCCTGTGAGGAGGGGATCTAAAGCCCATCCCCCGGAGGGGAAGGAAGAGGGGAGCTCGTGCTTGAGGCTGTCACTGCTCCTTCCCCTCCTGGACCCCACAGCGGTTGGGCTGGGCCCTGGGAGGAGTGGGTGGGCCAGCAGGAAGCTCCTTGGTCACGTTCCTTCTCTGGAGCTGCGTCCAGCGGGAGCTGGGTTGGCAGCCCCAGCAATGGCCACATGGCAGACCCCTTCCTATCTCTGCTGTCCAGGGCAGAAAAGCCCCATCTGCCCCGAAATACTGAGGCCCTTCTAATGACAAGACAGAACGAGTGACAAATGGGCTTCTTCCTGCTCCCCTGGAGAGACTCCCAGCTCACATTCTTTGCTGGTTCTTATCACAAACCATACACAGCAGCAAAGAACCTGGCTTCAGGAGTACTCAGTGGGGCGGGCTTTCATTGTCAACCCTCCCCAAGACCTTTAGAGGCCTGGTTTGGGTGGAAGGGCCCGGAAGGATCTCAGCTGGCGCTGATGATTGCCCTGGCCGTGGAGGTCGCTGGTGGTAGCTGCAGCCCCAGAGGGCCCCTAGAGTCCAGTGGCTTCCTTCCAAGGACTCTCCCTGCCTTGAACTTGTCATCTTGTTCTCTCAGGGCATGACCCCAGGTTCTCCATCTCCTGCAGATCCTTGGCAAAGCTGACTCGATTTGTTGAGATTCACTTTGGCTTCCATGTGGAGTCTCATGTACCAACGCCCATCTAGGGGAGATTGCTGGGGATGTCTCCACAGGCTCAGCGCTGTCCCTGCCAGCCCCTTGGAGAAGCTTACTCCTACATAGTGGTGTTTCCCTGAGTAGGGCAGGGGGCTGCTTCCTGGGGTGGGCGAGCAGAGCTATGATTGGGTGGTGCAGGCAGTGACATTGGGGCCTCCTCACAGCTCGGTGGCAGCTGGAGGGGTAGGAGAGCAAAGGCATTAGCCATCCCTGACACCCCACCCCATACACACACATGCACCCTTTCTTGGGACAGCTGCTTTGTCTCCTCTCCCCCAGTGCTGGCTCTTCCTGGGAACGAGCTGAGTCCCAGAGCTGCCGGCTTTCTGGAAACCCTTCTATGGGAGACCGTCCTTCATCACAGGGAAGGCCTCCCTGGCCTGGGTCTGTAGTCCTTCCCTCTACTCGAAGGGGTGGAGTGGGGCCTCCAGCCAAATCCTGGGGCTCTCCATCAGTGGCTCTTCTTTGCCCAAGAGCTTCTAACTGGGCATTGTGTGTAAAAGAGGACTAAGAAAAAGGCTCAGTTCTCCAGCACACCCAAGCTGGACAGGTTGAACATTCTGTTCACCTCTCTGCAAGTGCAGAGCCTGGAGTGCTGTGCAGTCAGTGGTGAATCTGCTGCTGTCCGTCCTTTCAAGCACACTCAGAGCTGGGCAGGTGAGCTGGCCGCCACAGAGTGGCTGGTAACTGCTGGACAGCCCCACACAGAACACTGCCCCCAGACCCGGGGATAGCCCTCTGAACAGGTGACCAGGTAGGCTCACATAGCCCTTCTCCAGCTTCTAGCTAGACCCTCTTCCCCAGGCTGAGCCTAAGAGGGTACCACATGCTCTCCTCTCCAAGAAGTCTCTCTAGGCTTCACCCTATCCTTCCCCTCATAGCACTAGGCCCTGACCTGGCTTCTGACCCCCAGCACACACCTGTCTCCACTCCCAGGTGGCAACCCCAAGGATCCTCCCTCACCTGTACCCCAGGATGCTTGGCATCTTTCCATTGCCTGGGCCTCAGGTGGGCACCCCATGGTGCTGAAGCAGGGAGGGGGGCAGGCCTGGGGATCATGAAGGATGATTCAAAGTGGAGCTCAGGATTTAGGCTCAGTGAGCCAGAGTGGAACCCAAACTTCCTGTCCCCATCCCTTTAGTTCTCTCCACCGAGTCCAGGGCCCAAGCCTCAGACCCCCAGCATTTCTGAAATACACTGGGGTGTAAAGATTCTACTCTTCTCTGGCAACTAGCTCATTCTTTCACAATCTGGCAGCCAGCTCTGATGACCTTGGGAAGGAGAGTCAGAGAAAAGCTGTCCCCACCTCTCCATCCACTTGTCTGGTGCCCAGAGTTGGAGAGGCTGCAGATCAGGTTTGTTCTGCTTCCTGTACCCAGGACCCCATGTGGTGCCCTGTCCCTGGGGAGAGGACTGACAGTGCTGTAGTCACTCCCCACCCCCACCCCAAGCCAAGGCTCTGGGCTCTCCCCTGGGAGCTAGAGCCAGCGAGCTGGTCTCCAGTTGCTTGGAGAGCTGGGAAAAGACCACTGTCCTCAGCAGTAGCTCCTGGCACTCGGTCCTGTTTAACATTTGCTGGGGAGGAGGCTGGCCAGCATATTACCCTTTCCACACTGCTGCCCCAGCCCAGAGGGAATCCAGGCTGGAAGATGCAGAGTCCAGAGTATATTCCAAAGGCCTCTTCACACCGAACAGAAAGCTGTTATTGGTGGTCAGGGGTGCCCTCTCCTGGCAAATAGGAAAACGACATGTGGCAGCCCGGCCCGGAACTGAGATCTTTGTCCCCTGAACTGAGCTGACCCCACCAGGCCAGCCTGATTGGCTGATAAAGGTCTGAGACCCCTTCACCCTCACTCCCACAAGGTTTTAGGACTGACTGACACTAAGAGCTCTTGCTGGGAATGGCAGGAGGGGAGGAGGGGAAAAGGCCTTGAGAGGAGGGAAGCTGGAGGACCCTTTCCAGCCTGGCCCTCCCAGGCCTTAGGGCAGTGTCCAGGGACCCGCGTCACTGCTGCTCCTGCTTCCAAAGGGAACCTGTAGGCCCCGGCTGGGATTGCCTGTTCCTGAGCGTGCTCCAAACTCAGGGCTGGATGGGAAGCAGGCTAAAGAGGGCTTCTGGGATGGGCCCTGGGGACACCCGAGCAGCCATCGGCCTTGGTCTGGTGGCAGGGGGAGTGCTGGGTCAGGACTCTCAAGGACTGAACAGGCTCTCCTGCTGGCCTACTGGTGCCAGTGAGGAAGTCTCTGAGCCTCTCTGGGCCCTTTACCCCTCTGAGAAAGACGGAGCTGTGTCAGATGGGTTCTTGGATAGAGTCTAAGCTGTCGCCACTCTTTGGAATGAGGCCTCCACCTCGTGGCTGCCAAAGTATCAGCCAAGAATTTTAGAAGAAGAAGGCCCAAGAGTGACGGCTCCCCAGTACCCAGGAGGGAAAACACAGAGGCTCGGCTTAGAGAGATAGATATATTTTTTCTGTTGCATATTTCAGACTTCACGCTGAGCTTCAGGCACGATGCTGCTCCAGGCTCCTCTGAGAGCCCTCACAGAGTCTTCTTCCCATGCTGCGCAGGAGGGCTCGCCCCTCCAGGGCAGGAGCCCAGGCCCGCTTGCAGTTCTGGGTTCTGGGGAGACTCTGCACTGGTCTCGGTGGGCCCTGGTGCCCTGCCTTTCCCATCAAGGAGCAGGCATGCTGGAAAGCCCTGGAGCCAGCCCCAGCCCCTCTTCTACAGTCCCCTGGCTACAAGAGGCGGGGCTGTCCCACCAGAGTCCAGCCCTGCGGTGCTCCCCCGAATCACCTGTTCTCTGGCCTCAGAGCCTGGCACGGCACTTACAGAGCCTCAGCCATGAGCACCGCAGGCCCAGGCTGGGGGACGAGGCCCTGGAGAGTGAGGCAGGCCCCACCCCCAGAGCAGTAGCAGATGGGCTCATCAGGCCCCTGTTCCCCAGAGCCGTGGCCCACTTCCTGGGGCTGCTCTGAGCCCTATTGCACATCTTTTGTTTCCAGTTTCTCCCACACCACCCATTTGCCTTTAAAAAAAAACAAACCTAGAGAAGTTTTGGAAGAGTGGGGTGTGGAAGCTGGAGCCCTTCTCCCCACATTCCTGCCACCCTCTGATGGCCAGAGGGCCATCAGCAGTAGTAAAGACCACGCCCACCTTCCCTGCCCTCTGTGCGGTTCTTGATGGCTGACATAGGTGTGATGCCTGGGCCTTTGGTCCCTGCCCGTGGGGGGCACATCCCTCCGTTGTCCGTAAGGTGCAATTCCCCGGGTCTTCTGGAGGTGTTTGCTGGGGCCCTGCTACCTGAGTCGCCCGTCTGCTTTGACAGGCCCCAGCTCCGATTTGGGGTCGGGGAACAGAGAGCTCCAGCTGGTCAGTCTGCAGGGCTCCAGGGAGGGGCAGGCGGAGGGGCCCATGGCACACAGTCCAGCCACGGACCAGAAGCCGCTCAGTTCCCCATCTGTCCAGGCCTCGAGCGCGGGGCCGGTGAGCAATGCATGCCGCCGGGCAGCCTCCTCCGCGGGCTCTGGCTGAGGCAGGTTCAGGATGCCACTCAGGCCCTGGAAACTCTGCTCCATGTACTCGTTGTGGGGGGGCCCGGCATGCAGCCAGCTGGCATCATCTGAGGGTGCAAGCACACAGTCAGCACACTAGCCCAGCTGATTCCATTAAGGCCAGACCTGGGGAGCCAGGCCTGGGTACCCCAGTTCCTGTCCCAAGTCTACTACTGAGTCACATCTTGCCAAGTGACCTGTGAGTTGGGCTAACCCTAAGAACTTTCCGTGCCTATAAAACCATTAATTTTATAAAATTAAGACCGTCATCCCTTAATTCCGAACGTGAGGATTAAGTAAAATAGTGCATTCGAGACCCATTAGAAAAAAAGGTAACTTTCCCATAACAGTCTGGTCTGTGTCACCCCTGCCCCTTCCCAACCATCTCCTGCAGTTCCCAGAGCCACCAGAAACCTCATACTCAGGCCCTCCAGCTGCAGGGCCCTGCTTGCTCCGCCAGCCTTCTCTCCTCCACCCCTGGTCCTACTGCCTCCAGTCTCCCTCATGCACCAGACACCGGCCAGCCGTTCCCTGCACTTAGAACACCCTTCTGTCTATAAAACTCCAGCTTATTCAAGGCTCAGCTCCATTCCTCCCGCACCACCTCCATCAGACTGTGAGTCCTGGGAAAGAAGGGGTGCAGCTGCCTGATCTGGGTCTGCCACAACCCCCACTACTCCGTCCTCTTCTGGGTCATCCCCAGTCTGACCAACCTTCTCTGGAACAGGATGTGGCCAGAGGAAGGAAACGTCCACCTATCTGCTGCATACGTGACACTTTACCCACATACTCATCCTGAATGTCTCCAAGGGGCTAGTCACTTGGGAGACACAGGCCCTCCGTGAGGGAGCCTGCAGCCTGTGCCTGTGTACAGTCTCTCCCTTACCCTCAGCCAAGTGGGCAGAGGGCCATGTGACCCTGCCACCGGGCCACACAATCAGCTTTGCTGTCCCAAGAATGTGGAACTTGGGGATCAAGAGGCCCTGGTCAGTCTCTGTTGCCCTGAGAGGCCATGAATCATGTATCAAGAAGCCGGAGCCTGAGGCTAACACACAGAGAGAAGACAGGATGAGGGACAAGACGGCTCCAGAGAGACGGAGGAAGCACCTCTGGTTCCCAGTGAGACCGAGACATTTCCTGGAGTCTGTGGGGCACAGCCCTGCATTCTTACAAGAACTCCCTTTTTATTGGAGCTAGTTTGAGTGGATTTGTGTTCCATGCACCCAGGAGGTCTCCAACATTACTCCTACTTTACGTGTAATAAGACGGAGGCTCAGGAAATAGATTGCCCAGGTTAAAAGCCCAAATCAAGTGTCAGAGCTATGTTCCAAAGCCAAGTCTACCTGACCCCAAACTCCCCTTTCATACCACAGCCCTAGGATGCTAAGGGGCAGATGATCAAGTTCCCAACCTCCCCCCCCCCCTTCTCTAGCAATGGGGGTCAGCTCTGAGGGTCAGCTTTTGGGGTCACCTCCCTGGCTTCTGTGCATCATTTGGGAACTAGATCCTTACCTTTCCTGAGAGGTAGTTTGCGGTTGAAGGTCAAGGGCAGCACGAGGAAGTGGGTCTCACCCAGGGGTTCCCAAAACTGAAGCAATCGAACAGTCCAGGTCCCTGGCCGGAGGGGCCGGCTTAGTGGGGGCTTGTACTGCGTGACCTCGGTCTCTGCATCCACCACAATGTCGTAGGATGTGGCCACCACATAGGTGGGGTCAATCCACACCACAGTGGCTGTGACGTTGGGGCCCCGGGCCCAGCGCTGCATGGCCACAGGCTCATCCAACGGTCCCAGCAACCCCCCAAAGTTCCGGAAAAGACGCTCTTTGGGGTCCCACTCGGTGCCAACCTGCAGGAAGGGAGGCAGCTGGGCAGGAGCCTGGGAGAAAAGTCCTTCTCTCTGCTCTGATGCTGCCTCTAACTCACTGTGTGACCTCAAGCTAGTCACTGTCTCCTTCTGGGTCTCAGTCTCCCCATCTGCAGAATTTGTTCTAGGCTCCCATTCTGAATGAATGGGGGGTCAGGAAGGCAGAGATAAGGTTCAAAGTCCTGCCCAGAGACCATCCCCTCACGAAGCCAAGGGCTCTGAGAAGGACATCGAGAGACACAAAAGCCTAACCTGTGGCCTGAATGGAATGTTCAAGCCCCGCATCCTTGTAGTTCAGAAGATGAGGCTGCACTATAGTGGAACTACAGCCCCTCTCTGACCACTGCATGTCCTCTGCACACCCCAGCTGGGAGCTGCCCCTCTGTGTGCGTGCAGGGGTGAGTCAGGCATGTGCACGAGGCATCGCCAAGGCATCACCGTCTCGGAAAGAAGGGCCCACGGACACAGTCCTGAAAGGCCTGACCCAGTCCTAGCCCCTCCCTTCGTGTCTGTCCCTCTCTTCCCACTACCCTGAGTCTTGCTGGGGGTCAGGAGAAAGCAAGGGGAGGACCTGTCCCACCTCCAAACTCTGGAGCCGGCTGGCCTGGTCACTGCGCCCCAACAGCTTCAGCGACCCCTGGGGCATCAGCCACATCTCAAGCGTCTCTGCCGGCCCCTGGTCTGAGGGCTGCACCGCCTGCGTCACCAGGTAGCCCTGGAAATGGTCGTCATAGAAATACAGGTGCACGCTGGACGGCAAGCCCCTGGGCTCAAACCTAAGAAGGTTCCAGCAGGGAGAAAGGGAGATGCTATCAGCATATCCAACTTGGTCTGGAGTCCTAGGGAGGGGGCTCAGGGGAGTCCCATTCCCAGGCACGTCCTTTGCCCCAGATCTCACACCCACAGCACCTATGTGCCTGGCTCTTGTAGAGTGTGTTTTATTTGCATTTCCCCTGCCTTAGACTGGGGGCTCCCTCGGGGCAGGGGCTGTCTTCTTTCTGATTGGCTTCCCCCTAAGTCACCACACCTTGGGAGCCTGCAATATGTCAGAAGGAGGTCTCACCTGCAGAGTGGGGTGGCCGGCAGGGCCGCCGTGGCGGCGGCATGGCGCAGGCTGAGGCGGGCAAAGGCGGTGTAAGCGGTGAGCATGACATCGCTGAGCCCGCTGGGGCCATCGGCTGCGTCATAGATGTTCTCCCAGTAGGCCTTGAGGGCCGGCGTGCCAGGGGGGTAGCTGCCATACAGGTGGAAGTCCAGAATTTCCAGTACCTCCTGGTTCACAGTGGACTCAAACTTCCGGGCAAAGAAGGTGGGCCTGGAGACTTGCTGGAGCGGGAGAGGCAAGCAGGGAAAAGGGGTCTGGAGGTCCCAGAGGGCACTGCGGGGGAGGGCCCCTCCCAGCGCTGCCCAGAGATGGGCCTCTGGGGCCTTTCCTGCTGTCACAGTGACCCCAGAGCCCCGAGGGCTGCTCCAGGTGAAGGCCCCCGCTCCTTCTCAGCCTGTGAAAGAGCGGGCGAGGCCCTCGCACGGGGCAGCGACAGGCCGTGACAGGGCCACAGAGACGCACCTGCAGCCGGAGGAAGTCCTGCGGCTTGAAGTCGTTGGGGGAGCAGCCGCACCAGTCCACGATGTGCTTGTACTGACACTTGCAGCCCAGCTTGCGGTTCCAGTTGGTGACCCGCAGGTTGTTGTCCACGAGGCTCTCGCAGGCCGCGCTGTTCTCCAGCACCGTGTGGAAGAAGGACTGTGGGCGCAGGGCGGGGCGGACAGTGAGCCGTGGACACCCCGCCACACGCCCTCTGCGGCCGGGGCGAGGGCCCATCCCCCACCTCGGCGGGAAGCAGCGTGTAGGTGTAGAACTGGCGCAGCTGGGCCACTAGCTGGTCGTCCGTGTACACCACGTACTCCACGAAGCTGCGCGTTAGCACGAACCAGTCGGAGCCGCCGTCCACCACGATGCCCGCCGGGATCTGCCGCTCGCCCAGGCGCCACATGTGCGAGTCACACTCGTGGAAGAGCCGGTCCAGGCCCTGCTTCTTGATGAACCTGTGGGTAGCAGACCAGCCAAGGCTGGGGGTTGTGAACTGTGTGGGAGGGGTTGTGTTGAGGCTCCAGGGCCAGGGCCTCCTCCCCCAACCCCTCACCTGGAGTTGTCCCTGCCATGTGACTTGAGGAAATTCTTGTCCCGGTTCTTGGACAGGAAAGCCACCAGCTCCTCGTTGGTCCTGAAGAGGGAACGGGGTGTGAGTAGTGTGTCTGAGGGGTTGCTCAGTCCCTGGGCCAGAGTGGACTCCTTCCAGCCCTCGTCACCTTCACCTCCTGGCCTCCTGGCCATGTGCCCTACTCCAGGTTGATGCTCTAGGGTGGTGGGCCCCTGAGGAAGACCACCCCATTCTTCTGCACCCCTTGCTATCCGATCCGGCACCTGTACACACCTGTGGCCCTTCCTCCTCCCCATCTCTTGTCACCCACAATCCTCACATCATCATTCACCAACCCCTCCCGGAAACATGGCCGGGGCTGAGGGACCACGTCTGGGTGCGTGCATCCCAGCACGAGGCCTGCGGGAGAAAGGAGTCCAGCAGGACTCTCCAACCCCGAGTGCCCGACGGGCCCTCCCATTCGGAGGGTTCAGAGCACCACCCCACACCTGGTTGGGTAGTCGGTGGCACTGAGGTTGATGAAGAAGTCCCAGGCCCAGCCAGGCACCTCCAGCAGGTCCTGCATGCTCCGCAGATACATCCTCAGCAGGCTGGCCCCGCCCCAGATGGTGATCATGCGCCAGGGCGTCACCCGGATATTATCATACCGCTGGGCCAGCTCCACCACCTCCCGGTGCAGGTAGTTGGAGCGCTAGAGGGGTGGAGGGGTGGGAGATTCTTAGCAGCCATAGGTGGACCCTCAGCATTACGACCTCCCACCCCACCCCAACCGCAGGACAGAGTACAACAGACAGGGATGGAGAGCACACTTGTCGCCTTGTGCTGGCTGCTCCCCAATTCTAGGCCTGTTTCCCTGACTCGGGGCCAGTTGGGCAGGTCAGAAACCCTGTCTGTCCGTGACCTTCTGGGTTTCTGCTCCGCTCACTCAGAACCCCTTGGTGTCCCCCAACAGTACCTTGTCCACGTGGATATAAAAGAAGTGCCGCTCGTGGTAGACAGCCTTGAGGAGGCGCTTCAGCTGGCGGATGGCGCGGCCATGAACCACCAGCATGTAGGCTATTCGTACCGGGGGACCCTTCACGGGCTGCCGGGCCCGGGCCTCATCCCACTGGATGCCGGGGTTCGTCTTCCCTGAGTAGAGAACAGGGGCATCGGTGAGGTCCCTCCCCAGGTCACAGGGTGGAGGTCAGATGAGAAGAGGGAGCTGCCTGCCTTCCAAGGAAGAATCCCGGACTTGGAGCCCAATACCCCTGGGTTCCAGCTCCCCCTCTGACACTTAGTGTACTTATCACCCGCTAGGCAAGGGAGGTGGGCCCCTCTGAGCTTTCTTCCTCTGAGAAGTGGGGACAGGATCCCTGCCAGGTCACCTCCCGGGGCGGCCTGTCTCTTACCAGCCAGCGGGCAGTGTCGGGGCACAGCCTTGGGCATCAGGCTCCCAGCCTGGTGCAGGCACACCACATTGGCGATCTCTTGCTGGCACTGCTTGGAGCTGGCCCGGGCCAGTGCGGACAGCGCATCCTTGCCCAAAATCTCGCACTTGGGGGTGAATCCATTGTCTGTGGGCTGAGGGGCACCCTCCACACTCCCAGTGTCTCCATGTGGTGGGGCGCCAGCTGCCCCAACCAGCGCCTCCCCAGCTGCTGCCCCACTTAGGTTCTGGCGGCCAGGGGCCTCTGGGGGTGGGGCAGGAGGGACCCTTCGGCTCGCTCTGTGCCGGCTGGTAACGGCCCGCACCACTTTGGCCACGGGCACACCTGGGCTCTCAGCCCGGCCCCGCCAGCGCCCATGCCTTCTGCCGGCACTGCCCCGCCGCCCAGCGGAACTGTCTGTGTCCTTGGAGCCCTCGCCGGGGTCCAGTGGCCGTGCCTTCCTCTGTCTTCCCTTCTGTAAAAGACAGGCAGACAAGGGTCACCGGGATGGTCGCTCTCCTCCTGCTCCTTTCGTTTTCTGCTGGCCTTGGGTCTAGAAGCCCCTGCTACCCTTTCCCTAGAGAAGTTCTGTTCACCTGAGGACTCTGCACTTACAGCACTTCTGCTGCGAGTCCTCCCCCGTGGCAGCATCGCACCCACACCCCACTCCCACGGAGATCACGGGGCACTGTCTCCTTGGTGCCTTGGACTCAGAACCACTTTCTTTTTCAGCAGATGTGAAAATGAATGTCCAGATGTCACAAGAGAAGGGTGCTGAGACCCTGCGAGGACAGCCCACCCCAGCTCAGCTGGGAAGACGAAAGGAAAGCATTCTTCTGCCGATAGCATTTCCATGAGGCTGTGCCACCGAGGCCACAACAGCGAGAAGGGGTCTTGCCTGGTGGAGAGGATGGAGGTGAAACCTGAGACCCCACATTGGTTGGGTTCTCCTGGAAGCAGAGACCGAGACGGAGCCAGAGTGTAAGATTTCAGCGGGAGTGCACCTGTGGACGACGGGGAGCAGCCTTCTGACTGCCACGCCGGCCTGACCACAGCACAGCCTGGAGGAGCCTCGGCTGGCTCGTGGGAGGGAACTCCAGTGCACAGACAGCCTGTAGATGTGGGTCCCGGTCCCCTTGCCACACTCGGCACGGGCTGGGGCTGGAAGGCCAAAGCAGAGCATGACACACCCACAGCTGGAGGATGGCAATTAAATGCTCCTCACAGCAGGGAAATCTGAGTGGTGGGCCTTCATGACCGCCACACCCCACTTCCTGGCATCTGCTGCCTCTTCTCAAAGGGGGTCCGCTCACACCTGTAAGGCACGTAGACCCACCTCTTCTCCAGCTCTCCCTGTTCTCTCTTGACCCTCCTTCCCTGCCTGACCAAATCTCATCCACCCTTCTAGATCTCCTTGTGTGAAGCCATGCTGTGTGCCCTGGAGTCGGACGTTCCCCAAGCTGACGGGGCTGCTGGGGGAAACTGTCATGTCAGCCCCATCGCCCCAGTGCCTGGTGGCGTAGCTGGTACACAGGGGACATCTGGGTGGTGTCCGGTGGATGAGACAAGGAAGAGAAGGAGAAGCAAGAGGCACTCACTGTGTGACTACCCCGGGGTCCCCAGGGCTCCACGCCTAGCTCGGCCACTCCCCCACAGTCAACTACCTTCTCTGAGCATGCTCCCTCAGCTGTAAAATACAGGAGGAAGGGTGTCCGATGAGACAGGACATGAGATAATGCTGCTAGAAAGAGCTGTCCCCATTTTTTTTCTTTTTAAAACTTTTTTTTCTTTATTGATTTGAGAGAGAGAAACGGAGAGGGAGAGAGAGAAACATCGATGAGAGAGAACATCGATTGGTGGCCTCCTGCATGCCCCCCACTGGGGATTTGGCCCACAACCAGGGCATGTGCCCTGACCGTGAATAGATCTAGTGACCTCTTGGTACATGGGTCAACGCTCAACCACTGAGCCACACGGGCTGGGCCGTCCCCATTTTTCGCTCACCATTCTGTGGACCCACTCCGTGGGCCTCCCGTCCACTCGCCTCCCCTCCCCTCCACAAGCGCCACCAGCCCTTTCTGGCCTGGTCTTTCAGTAGCCTGGCCTCCTGGAACCAGTGTCTTCCCGACACTCGGCTTCCAGGATGCCCGCCGGGGTTTCTCCTGCCTTGTGACCAGCAATGGCCTCCTGGGCTGAGCCTGCCGTGTCTCCCAAGGCTGCCCTGGGCCTTTCCTGGTCCCAGCCCACCAGGAGCTCCTTCCTTCAGCCCCTGCTCTCCATCCACTCTCAGGCTTCCCCGTCAGGCTGGACTGCTCCTCCAAACCTTCAGGTTTGTAACTGCCTACCCTCTTGCCGTCTCCCTTGGGAGCCTGATAGCCCTGCCAATGGCACACGTCCCAAACCCAACTCCTGCTCCTTCCCCCCACTGTTACTTCATCAGCTCAGTGACTGGAGAGACCCCATCCTTCAAGTTGCTCAGGCCAGACCTTTCAGGAGCCATTTTGATTCTTATTTCCCTCACACCCCACATCCAGTCGATCACCAGTAAACCCTGTCGGGGTCACCTTCAAGAAGGGTAACTACAGCCCTGGCTGGTGGGGTTCAGTTGGTTGGAGCATCGTCTTGTGCACTGAAGGGTTACAGGTTCGATTCTGGTCAGGGCACATACCCAGGTTGTGAGTTTGATGTTTCTCTCCCTCTCCCTTCCTCTCTCTCTAAAACTTGTGAAAGCACATCCTTGGGGGAAGATTAACTTCTCTTGCCCTAAAAAGAAGGTAACTACACCTGGAACCAAATCACTTCTCACTAACTCCATCACACTCACTCCTGCCTGTTGGGTGCCTCAAATGCCCCCCCCAGGTGTCCCCACAGCTCATTCTGCTCCTTCAATTCTTTGCTCAAATGGTATCTTCTCAGCATGGCCCGTCGTAACATCGTATTTACAACTCCAGCCCTCCCTCATCCTCTGCTTTATTTTCCCCAGAGCACATACTGCCTGCTGACATCCTACGATGTATTTATACTGTGTTATTCCTTCCAAGAAGGTAAGCTTCAGGAGGACAGGGCTTGTTTTGTTCACGGATGTATTCTGAGAGCCCAGAAGAATTGTCTGGCAATGCACACACACAGCAAATATTTGTTGAATGAATGTAAAGCTCTTGTCAGGCTAGTGTTTGATTATTATTACTGGAAGGGGAGTAGGACCCAGTCGAATGTGATCAGGAGAGGGCCCAAGGCCCTCAGACACTTTGGACTCTATTGTGTTGGTTTTTCTCTGCCTCTCACGTCCCTGGAACCTTCTTCCTCTTCCCTGTCAGAGTACGGCACCTCACACGTCAGGCTGACAGCCATCTTAGGGCTAGAACCCCATCCCGCCCCCCAGCATCGGTGCCCTTTATGCCCAGCATCAAGCCAGCCCTCCGATCTCTTGAGAGACACCCAGTCAGAGCTGGGAGTGTTTATTCCCACCTGAGAAGAGGCATCAGCAAGAGGGAGGGCAGGGTGGAAAGGAGGAGGAGACCCCATTCTGTGCCCACGTTGGAGAGGGCACCCTGAACTGGGCAGCCCCCAGGAAAGGTGAAGGCAGCTCCACTGTGCTGAGTGCTATGTCTGGAGATGTCTGACTTGGCCACACAACAGACAGAAAAGATATCCTCAAGTTCAGGTGGGTAGAGATGGCAGAGGAGCTGTGGGCTGTCAGGGTGGAAGCCAGTATCAGTGAGTCAGGAAGCCGGTCAGGAGGGCAGGGTCCAGGGCACAGGGCCAGGCTGGCTGTGGTGGGAGGCAGGATGTGGGAGGAGATGGGCATGTTGGTGCCCTGCACTGCAGCAGGGAGCTGGCTGACCCTGAGAAGGACAATCCCAGAGGAGGCTGGGGGACCAGGAGGCAGCAGTGAGGAATGGGGGAAGAGAGAGGGTCCTTGGTAGACAGCCAGTCCCCAGCCCTGCCCCCTCCCAGGCATGTTCATATGGGCAGAAGCAGGGCGCCTAGAGGAGCTGTCCTCTGTAGTCCTTGAGGTCAGTGTCCCCTCTGATTACTGGGGGTGGGGACTGGCCCTCTGACTTGGATGCCTTCTGGCCCCCGAGGCCCCCTCCTCCCTACTGAGGAGGCATTTGAAGTCCTCAGCCACTTCCCCGCCCTGCAGCTCTGAGCCGGGGAGACAGAACAGAACTGCTTACCTCACCCCCCACCTCCTTTGGACTTCTCAGGCTGAGATTAAAATAAGTGGTGAGGCAGTGTTTGTGAAAGCCTTGCAAACAGTAAAGTGGCTCTCTGGATGTTAATGATCTCCCTGGTCTCCACTCTAGCCCCCTCCATAGAGGCAGCGTGTGCGTCGTAAATGTGCTTCTGAGCCCTCGCAACCCCAGTCTGGGCTTCCCCACTGCACTTACAATAAAAACCTCACTCTCACTGTGGTCTCTGGGATGTGTTCTGGACTAATTCTTGAACCTTCTTCCAGGGAACATACCACACCCTCCTTCCATTCCTCAAAGGCAGCTGGTCCCATTCAACTCAGGGCCTTCTGCCCAGCTCTGCCCACCTCTTCCCCAGGCTGACTGGCTCCTTCAGCTCACATGTTACTTTCTGCAGAAGGCTTCCCCTACCTGATCTAAAGCAGCCCCCTTGTTATTCCGATGAGTTTCCCTTTCACTGTGAGCCTCTCCCTGCAGACAGCCCAGGAGGGCTGAGACCCTGTCTATTTTGTTTGTTTCTGTATCCCCAGTATTAGCACAGTGCCTGTTATCAAGTAGGACTTAATAAATACTTGTTGAATGAATGAATGAATGAATGAATGAATGAGTCCCTACTCCCAATGTGCAGTGCTGAAATAACAATGAGTTATTTATTGATGGCTCAGCATATGCCAGGAACTCCTGCAAATAATTTACAGGCATCATTTTCTTTCTTTCTTTTTTTAATCCTCACCTGAGGACGTTTTTTTCCCCCATTTATCTTCAGATAGAGTGGGAGGGAGAAAAGGAGGAAGAGAGAGAAACATCGATGTGAGAGAGACACATCGAGTGGCTGCCACATGATCCCAACCAGGGCTGGGGACAAACTGCGACCGAGGTACGCGCTCTTAGCGGGAACCGAACCCAGGACTCTCCGGTCTGCGGGCCGGCACTCTAACTGCTGAACCAAACCAAACCGGCCAGGGCCACAGACATTATTTTCATTTAATCTTTACAATCACCCAATGAGAGAGCTGCTATCAGTATCCCCATCGTGAGGGGAGATACTGATGAAGACATGGAGAGGTTAGGTGATTTGCCAGTGTCACACCACTACTTAGCGCTGGAACAGGATGTAGGACAGTGAAGTGGGGTGGTCCAACTTCAGTGCGTGGCAACCCTGAGGTCTGGTGAGATTGCTACTAAGGGGGTCCAAGCACTGACAGTCTTTCAATCATTAAGGATCATTTTCCATTCCAGCTCCGTATTTCCCTATCAGCTTCTGCCAGGAGGAAGTGGGAAGGCAGGATCCCAAATACTCCCAGGCCCCAGTTCTCTGCCCCAGGGCAACAGGGACATTCAAGCCTGGACAATCTCTCAACCTTTCCAGAGACTCGGAGTTATGCAGCAGCTCAGGGCCATTTGTTTCTGAGAAACCTCAGATGTGTCGCTATGCCCCTCCCCAGAGGCCTCTGCTCACATACTCCACGGTCAGAGGGCCCCCTAACTCCTTGGCAGCCCATTCCATCTTTGAATGTCTCATCTGCCCAAAGAGTCTTCTTACACTGAGCCCAAGACATTCTCTTCCTCCTACTTATTGGTCCACACAGAAGAAGCTCACTCCCTTCAGATGTCCCAGAGCCAGCCTCCCACACCCCCACCCGCAGCTTCTTTAGGAGTTATGCTCTGGCGCGATTGCGTTCCATCTCCCCTCACCATCCCAGCCTCTTGGTTCTCCCAAACAAGGCAAGGACAGCTCTTCTCCCAGTCTCCACCAGGCCTTCGGGACTGCCCAGATGCACAAAGGGAAGGTGGACATTGGGTTTCTTTGGCCTTCACCCTGCCAGGTGGAAAGGCCCAAGAGGACCTGGCAGGCAGTCTGCCTCAGAGCACTAGAGGCACGAGAACCCAGGGGGTGGGGTGGGCGCTGGGAAGCTGTGCCATCTGGCCCACAGATTAGGTCCCCCCAGACCTTCCAGGATAGCCCCAGACCTCACTGGACTCTTCCTGATCACACTGGGAAGGATATCTGGGACTCCAGCTGAAACTATGGTCAGCCAAGAGTGACAGAACCTCAGACTCGGCCCTGGGGCGCAGGGACCTGAGAGCTAGCAGGGCAGGTCTGCCCCTGCTCCAGGGCCTGGGCTGCTAAACCAGCTGCTGCTGTCCCTCAGAGCCAGTGGGGGCCCTCTCCCCAATTCCCTGAGGTCAACTCACCAGTTCACTCCCCCTGGCATCTCCTCCTGAAGACCCATGCTGGTTCTTCAGACCCCTGGCTTGGCTTGGCTAAGGAAGCCACGCCTCAGGGACTCTCCAGGTATTTCCCTCGGGGTCTACTCCCTGTTCCCTCAGTTGCCGGACTAAGTTCCACCACTGGCCTTCATTGCCCCACCGGCCGCTGCCTGTTAGGCGCTTCTGGACGCGGATGCCTGGGGTCCCACGGCCTCGCGCCTCCGCCCACGGCGCGCACACCCCCGCCCCCTCCCAACTTCAGAAAGTTTGGCCTGGGGCTCCCCACCTCCGAGCAGGCTCAGGCCTAGCCCCGCCTCCCGGCCCCGCTCCCTGTTCCTGACCTTCATTGCTCCCCCGGCCAGAGACCACCCCACTAAGACCCGCTCCTCCCGCTCCGGCCCCATGCCCGCCTGCGGCCCGGGCCTCCGGGTCACGCACCGCCCCGCGCGTAGTCCCCTAGGCCCGCCTGGGAAGGGGCGTCAGGGGTCGGATGCCCAGCTCCAGGCGGCCGCCCGCGTCCGGCACGCATGCGGCCCGTGACCCACTTCCCCAGCCCCGGCAGCCTTCAGCCCCTCCAGGACCCCGCGCGCCCCCACACCCGGCCGGCCCGCCCGGCCGTCAGAGCACCTCGCCCGGCTCGTCCTCCTCCAAGCCGCTGAAGCTCCACACCACCAGGCCCTGCAGTAGCAGGATGGCGAGCGCCGTGGCGATCGCCAGCTTGTAGCGCCGCACCAGCTTCTGCACCCGCGCGCTCGCCACCATCTTCCTGCCCCGGACGCGGGGCGCGCGCCCAGCCCTGCAACCCGGCCGCGGGCGCGCGCAGGGGCGCGGGCCGAGAGGGCTCCCCCAACTGGAGGCGGGCCGGACGCGCGCTTGGCCGGGGCGGGGCCGGGGGCGGAGCCCGAAGTCCCGAATTGCCGCTCCCCGCAGGCCATGGGCGGGGCCTGGCGCGCAGGGCCGCCTGCCGGGCTGGGGCCAGCGGGGGCCGGCGGGGGCCGGCGGGGGCCGGCGGGGGGCGGGGGACGGGCGCGGGGCTTTCTGCGCTGAAACTCGGTTCCCGGCAGCTCCTCGCCTGCCTTCGCCGGTTCTCCAGCTCCCGTGTGTGCTCACCTCCTCTTGGATCGCAAACCCGTGGCTCCGCGACGCGGAGAGGTCTGCAGCCCGACCACTCTTCTGCCCACCGCCTGGTGTTTCGGGGTGGGGGCGGGGATGACATTCAGTACCTTCCTCGGCCCCAGCGTGCATTATACCAGAGCTCCCAGAAACGCCAAGTTAAGAGAGATTGCGTAAGTGACACAGGCCCTGCTTTTGTCGCGACCCTGGAGGCAGCACCTACTGGGCAAAGTCTAACCCCCTTGACTGGCATCAGAGGCCCTCACAAAGCCTCCTTTCCTTTCTCCTCACCCTGTCATCTAAAGACCCTCACTCAGGCCTCTACTAGAGCCGAGGTTCTCAAATTCTAGGGTGCGTCAGAATCACCCGGTGGACTTGATAAAACATTGCTGGGTCGCAGCCCGAGTTTCCGCTTTGGTAGGTCGGGAGTGGGGCCCGAGAATTAGAATCTTAGCAAGTTTCCAGGTGATGCTGATGCTGCTCATCTCTTTGCCCGATTCTAGCAGTTGTCCTCCCTTCTCCCCCGCCTTGCCTATCTATGACATCCTCCCCAAATGCTTCCCGGCACTGTCTGTTCAGTCCAGCACTGAACACACATCTGGTGTGATCTCTCCGGGATCACACCTTACTCACCACTGAATCCTTAGCCCGGCACTGGACACCCAGCAGCGCTCAATAAATGTGAAAGAAAGAGCAGGTGAAGCCCAATTTCCCGTTTAACCAGATAACCTTATTTTGTGAGAGCTGGCATGTTCGAGCTCTACAACACTTGAGCACCTGCAGCCCTCCTCCGAACCTGGCAGGGGCATGGAGGAAAGCATGGAGGGGCATGGGGGAAGAGGGGAAGCAGTGCCCACCAAAGCAAGGTGCACACCCAGCTGGGGGAAGTCAAGCAGCGTGAGAAGGGAGTAATAAGAGCAAAATCAAGACTGAAGATTTAAAAACGAAGACTTTAAGAACCATTACAGACAGATCTGGAAAAAGAAATGGTTTTTTAAAAAGTTTGAAAGCAGCGATGACGTGGTGGTTTGGAAGTTGCCAGGAGATTAGCTTGGAGAGGGCGTTCTGGGCTGTGATGAGTGCAGGGGATCCAGTTATTTGATGGGGCACTTACGTAAAACTTTCTTTAATGTCTCCTGCCCCTTTGGTATTTGTAATCATTCCATTCTTCAGTCTTAGTTAAATGAGAGGATTGTAAGTGTTTCAGATGACAGTTTGGCTACTTAATAGAACCTCCACTTCAAATGTTTGGAAAACATCAGTTGACATGTCAGCAATTGATATATTAATTAAATATAGATCTTCAATATTCTGTGCTCATTAAATCAGGTCCACTAGGGACCTCTATGTGCCAATACTCCTGCCCACCCCACCCCCCATGAAAATAGCTTTGTTTTCCATTGATTATTATAAATAACATATATAACATTTAAAACAAAAAATATAAGGACAAAGTAAGTCCCCTGCAATCCCACCCCCTGAGATAATTATTACTATTCTGGTGACCACCCTTTCCCTATATGTGTACATAATTTTCATGGGTGGGGGTCACATTACATACATTTTTTTAAAGATTTTAAATTTATTTTTAGAGAGAGAGGAAGGGAGAGGGAGAGAGAGAGAAACATTGATGTGACAATGAACATAGATTGGCTGCCTCCTACTGAGATTGATCCTGCAATCCCAACATGTGTCCTGACCAGGAATCAACACCACCCAACCAACTGAGCCACACTGGCCAGGGCTACACACATGGTTTGTATTTACTTATAATATTTATTCTTTATTGATTTTAGAGAGAGAAGAAGGGAGAGGGAGAGAGAGATAGAAACATCGATGAGAGAGAACATCGATTGGCTACCTCCTCATGCCCCCCACTGGGGATCAGGCCCACAACCTGGGCATGTGTCCTGACTGGGAATGGAACTGGCGACCTCAAGGTGCCTGGGTTGACGCTCAACCACTGAGCCACACTGGCTGGACCTAATTCATTCTTTTTAATGGCTGCCCAAGTTTCCACTCCCTTCTTGAAAGGGTGTTCACTTGGTTACCAGTTTGCTACTACCACAGGGCTATGGTAAACATGGCTCTGCCCAGATCCCTGTGCACTGTTGCCTTTATTTTAATGGTAGTTTCCCAGGAAAGGGATTACTGGGGAAGGGGAATTTTTTATTTTAATAGCTATTGCCAGGTTGCTTTCCCAAAATGCTGTGACAATTCCCATTTCCAACAGCAACGTATGAGAGCATTATTTTTCTGCATCCCTTTCATCAGCAGGTGTTGTTGCTGTTTTTAATTTTTGCTCATCTGATAGGTGAGAAGTGACCTCCTTGGTGTTTTAATTTGCAGTTCTCTGCTGGGGAGTGTCTGTTAATTGGTTTCTTGACCGGATTTGCTCTCGCCAGAATTGGCTTTTCACCATCTTCATGAATTTATCTATTATTGTTGCATTATTTGTCTTTTTATTATCGATTTTAAGATTTTTTAATCCTTTTAAAGTTTCCCTCATTTTATCATTGCACTTTGACATAAGGCCTTTCTAAAAATTTTAATTTTGGGGGGGGGGGGGAGAATCAAGTATGTTTCTCTTGTTTTATAACTTCTCATTTTCTATTCTGGTTTAGTAGATCTCCCAGTCTTGGATGAAGTATATAGTCTCATGTATTTTCTCTCACAGTTTTTATTTCACAGTTTTACATTTAAGTCTTCAATCCATCTGGAATTTGTTTTTGTGTATGGTATGAAGTAGAGGTGTGGGAGTCTTTATTAAGAACGTATTCCCTGCGACTCTATCAGAAACCATTTGGATTTAACTATTTTAAAAACAAATTTGTTATTGAGATATAACCTGAATAGACTGATTTAGACTTGAGCATAGAAAATACTAGGTTCATTGCTCCCCACTGCCTCTTCTCTTCAGGGTCCCCTGTAAAGTTCATTGTGCTCCCCCCCCTTTTTATTGTAGCAAGTCTTGAAAATACAAAATGGCTCCTCAGAAAATCAGAACAGGAAAGAATTTTTTTTTTAGTTTTTAGTGGGCTGCTTTGATTCATCCTTTCTCATGTGAAGGCATTGTCCTTAGTGTCTTAGTTTTAAGAGCTATTTTAAGAAGCATGGATACTGAATGTTTTCAAATGCATTTTCAGCAGCTAGAGTTTAAACTTGGCTCAGGACCAGAGGACGTGGAGGCCCCTGCAGTAAAGGCCCAAGCCTCCAAGCATCCCTCCAGGCTCTGTCTTTTCACCTTTATCTGGTGTCTGCTTCTCTGTCCAGTTCCTTGGAGTGATACTTCCCCTGGGCTGTCTGCTGGGCCTGGTGCTGCCTTTACCCATAGACGCTACCTTTGGGACACCCTCTGCCAACCCACACCCAACCCAGCTCTGGATGCTTGGGCCTCTGCTGTTCAGGAAGTAAGTTCCAACATCTATTGAAATGACCATATGGGTTTTTCTAATGTGACCTATTGAGACGATGGAGTCTTTCAAAAATAATTTTTATATATTAAAACATTTTTTGCAACACTTAGAGTTTATGTAACTTGGTCCTAGTAGATTTTTAAAAATTGTGGTATAGCTTGAATTGGATTTGCTAGTATTTTATTGAGGACTTTTACATCTATGTTTATAATAGAGATCAACCTACACCAGAGGCTGCAAACGAGTGACTCATGGGACTTGTTTATTTGACCAGGCCAGCATATTGAAGCATTTCGTTTGGAATTCCTGATTAAGGGGTACACACTCTGCAGTTCCTGTAGCTTCCACTCTCTCCTGTCATTTTTATACCCAATCGATTTCATCCTTTTATATTACTTTCTGGCTCTTGTAGGTACTTGCGTTTGAAAATCCTGGTCTGTGGTTCCCTTTGCTCTTTTTTTGGAGGGTGGATAATTTTGAGAACTAGAGTTCTACCGTTTTACAACCTGAATTGACGAGCGTTCTTTTTTCATTCTGTATTTTGAAATAATTTATGCAACAATAGACACTGCTGTTCTGTAAACATTAGAAAAACCTGTCAGCAAAAGCGTCTGTCTTCCTTCCCCGGACACGGGGCGCACGCCCAGCCCTGCAACCCGGCTGCAGGAGCCCGCGGGGGTGCAAGGCTGAGAGAGCTCCCCCAACTGGAGGCAGGTCCTTTAGGCAGTGAATTTTTTGGTAACTTCTTTTTCCCCTCATCTTGGTTGTTGGGCTATTCAAAATTGTGTGCTCTTTTGGGGGGGGGGGGCCCATATTGAAATTTTAAACACTTGACTACATTTCTCTTATGTTTCTTTCTCGGTTATTTTGTTTATATTGTATGTCAACAGTGTGAATTCTTCCCCAAACAAAAGGGTCACATCTTGTTTATTTTTCTATTTAGCCAGCTGAGAGCTCTCACTCAGCATTAGCTTTCTCTTTGGTCCTCTGAGTTGTCTAAAAAGCCTGTGGTGGGCACAGGCAGCTCACAAAGGGGGCATCAGCTGGTCTTCCAATAGGACTGCAGGACAGCACTGCGGGTAGAACATTCTGCTCCTGCAAATCGTCTTACTGCCACATGGGGTCGCTGTAGGGACATGGCTCATAATTAGAAGTTGCCCAGATGGGCTTTTACTGGTCTGGTCCACATCCTGGCCCAGCTCACTAGGCCCAGACAAGTGTCTAATACTTGAACTCTCAGAGTGTCGGTCTCAGTGCTTAGCTCTTTCACCGCCCCCCCCCCCAACTCTCTCTGCTAGTACCTTCCACTGTGAGAAG